TTAGTTATTTTGAAATGTGCAATTACATTAGTAGTCCCCCCTAATTAGTATAAGTATTTGTGTCTTTTGTTAGCTAAAATACATGTTTCTCTATTTTTGTGCCACAAGGTTAAATATGCATCTATCTATATAAACACAAACATATATATTATGACAAACTAATTCTTTTACTTTTCTGATTAGGTACTTCTTTTTTTTGTTTTTGTTTTTGTTTTGAGGCAGAGTCTCACTTTGTTGCCCAGGCTAGAGTGAGTGCCGTGGCGTCAGCCTGGCTCACAGCAACCTCAATCTCCGGGGCTCAGCGATCCTCCTGCCTCAGCCTCCCGAGTAGCTGGGACTACAGGCATTCGCCACCATGCCCGGCTAATTTTTTGTATATATATTTTTAGTTGGTCAATTAATTTATTTCTATTTTTGGTAGAGACGGGGTCTTGCTCAGGCTGGTTTCGAACTCCTGACCTTGAGCAATCCGCCCGCCTCAGCCTCCCAAAGTGCTAGGATTACAGGCATGAGCCACCGCGCCTGGCCTAGGTACTTCTTAATATTCTGCATGAGCTTTATAATGTAAATACAGAGATAGCTATATAAAACATCACCTGTACTTTAGAAATATCTATTTTGCTCCTGTGGAAGTACATGTGCCACAAACTTTACCTAAACAAATATGTTTCGTAACTTTCCCCTCTGATGGCTGTTCCTCTGTTGCTCTAAGTTTAACTCCTCACCTAAGAGATAGGAGATTTTTTTTTCGCCAAATATCTTTCCAACATGGCCAACTGGCATCATCATGTTTTACAAAAAATTTTGTCTTCTATAGATGCTACAACCCATGCTGTTTTATCCCAGACATCCTGTCTTTTTAAATTGTCAACACTTAGCTAATATTTTTAATACATTTTTTTTAATTTCAGAATATTACAGGGGTATAGCCATTTAGGTTACATATATTGCTGTTTTTATAAAATCATCTAAAACATGTTTGGGTTCTCCTTTTTCCCACTCCCGTTAAATCTGGTTTCTACATGAAGATGTTTTGAATATGCTTACCTGTCTCCATAGTATCATATTTCAAATGATCACCAGCTTTATGAGGACGTAACATAAATCTTTAATTATTTTGCCCCCAATAAACCTACTACCTGAAACTGATTTCTGTTCCACCGTTAGCTCATACTGCTTCATTATTCCTTGAGAACAATCATTTCTCCAGTTTCTTGAATGATCATCTCACATTGCTTGCTGTTTCTTTCTCATGGAACTTTTCCAGAAATTCCATGTTTAGTTAATTGTGGAATAAACTTATTATGTCAGAATGAAAGTTACACATTCAAAGACATTGCCATAATCTCCAGATTGTTTTAGGACCTACTGTTTTATTATTTCATAGACTCTGAACTACTCCACTGCAAACATGAATACAATTTATTTTTATTTTTTATTTTTTTTGAGACAGAGTCTCACTCTGTTACCCAGGGTACAGTGACGTGGCGTCAGCCTCGCTCACAGCAACCTCAAACTCCTAGGCTCAAGCAATCCTGCTGCCTCAGCCTCCTGAGTAGCTGGGACTACAGGCATGTTCCACCATGCCCAGCTAATGATATATATATATATTTAGTTGGCCAATTAATTTCTTTCTATTTTTATAGTAGAGATGGGGTCTCGCTCTTGCTCAGGCTGGTTTCGAACTCCTGACCTTGAGCGATCCGCCCACCTCAGCCTCCCAGGGTGCTAGGATTACCATGAATACAATTTAAATTATATAAGTATTTACATAATGATTATGTCATTACATGATTACAAGTAATTACATGATTACATGATTACAAGTAATTACATGATTATGTCATTTATTTGATACAATTGCTGTTACTGTTTGTGGTTTATTATTGGTCAGAAGCTATCTTACTCACTGTTCTCTTATAATGTGACTGCTTCCTAATTGTACTTACAATCTTTGGAAATGAATAAACAAAGAAGTGAGAATGGTGCAAAAACACACATTTTATGTATTTCTGATAAGATTAGCAGATACTGCATTCCTTAACCAGATAAAGAAGGGCCTGGATACACTGAAGTCACAGCTCATGAGAACAAAGGGGCAGGTAGTTGGGAAACACACAGAGATTAGGGCGGAGGTGTTCCCCAGCAACCAAGTGGGATGAGGAGAATAAGAAATACAGACTTGCTAGATGGAGGAGAAGGTGTAAAGTGATACAAAGGTGTTCACCAGAACAAGGATTCTTTAGAGTCAGGGGAGAATCTGGGACAGATGTTAGCCCTGTGGATGTGTCGCACCTGCTGGTCGTGCCTGTGTAGGAGGAAACCATGGAGCTGCTGGCCCAGAGCATGAGCACCAAACACGAAACATCAGGGAATAATAACAACACTGTGAGCAGTGATAGTGTGATTTCATCACTATGTTCCCCAGAACGGAATCCCAAATCCTTTTTCACTGCGGTGTTTGTGTTTCTAGTATTCTCTATTTGCTAGTCACGTACGGAGTGTAAGTTACATTTACCAGCATTTGCAGGATCCGACATAATAATATAGAGGAGCCAGTGTACTTGGGAGCTTTCATTTTCAGTTCTGCCCACCTGCAGTTCCTGAGGCTGATCTCGATGGCTTGGAAAACACTCAAGAGGCAAGTGGTGCAGATGGACACACCCCTGCCCACTCTGTGAAGATAGAAAACAGGTTTGCGTGCAGTATCTTGGGAAAATCTCTCAATCCAAAAGCTGTCATTGTCTCGAGGACTCCTCTGAAGAGGAGGGCTGAAGAATTGGCTACAAGCAAGTGTTTGAGAATCAAATCCATGGATCTTAACCTATGCCCAGTGAAGTAAAGGAAGAGGCAATGATATAGAAGAGTGCAAATCCCACGGATCCCAAATGCACTCTGTGATAACCAGATCATTCCTATTGCCACATCCCTGGAGGCCATTCTGCCAGTTTGCAGTGACTGGTATTTATTTGTCTTCAGAGCCAGAGGACCCTGCATGAGAATATGATGCAATGGCCACATTTACAATGTAAACTTAGATATCATATTCTCCACTTACCGTTAGTTCTCCTTTAGAAATCTTCATAATCTTTCTTTTAATAACATGTTTTCAAGAATTACATATGTAACCTTTAAGAGCACTTATAATTTATTGACAACTGTTATGAAGGCTGTGTATGTGGTGATGTTTTCTTTTTGTCACAAATCCATAAGGCAACCATTATTACTTCCCTGTAAAGATGAGGAGAATATACACACCGAGAGGTTAAGTATTTTTTTTTTTTAAATTCACATCCGATTTAGGGGCAAAATGGGAAATTTAATGTGATTGTGCTTGTTTCAAAGACAAAGCATTATCATCCTGCTACACTGGCAAAGCTAATTGGCTGCATTCTTGGAATGATTCATTTATACAGTATATTTAGTTTTGTTTTTCTGCCTTGTCATTTTATTTCGGATTGTTGGTGTGTTATTCTTAGAATGTAAACGTACAAGTTTCAATCCATATATAAAGATTTATTCTATAGGCTAATTTCAATTATGAATGGAGATTTAGGGACTTAGTAAAATGAAGACGCACTGATTGCAGTGTATGCAGGAACCTGCTCTAGGATTGAGTCTGATTGAATGGCTTCAAGAATTGCTCAAGATTAGGATGACAACAGAATGATTTGTTTGCTTTTATGCTAGGAAGAAAAGTACAAAGGCATCTGTCAGGGGAATTATTGAACAATATCATGTATTGCTGGAAACTATGGGATATGAAATACAAATACAGAATAAAATATTAATATTATCATTTAATATTGGAAACTATGCTTTTGGTAATTTCAGATCATACAATTATGTGTGCATTAACATCTTACTTAAGTAAAACTATTACCAATGGGGTGAGACATGTGAAACATATTAAGATGTTAAGACTCACATGCAAAATAAAGGATGTAAGGGATATACTTTTGTGCGTTTTGTAAACTCAAATTTTAGATTTGGGGATTCATATTTGAATATTTTTAAATAAGAGAATCAATCACAAGACATATTTGAAAGTGACAGCTTCAGTCTTCAATGCACAATTATAGTGAACCTTTTCTTAAATGCTGCTTCCTTAACAAGGGAAAACAGTTTCATCAATATCACCAGACAGTGGATATTTTCAGTAGAGACACAAATAATGTCCCCATTAAGCCAGCGTTGAAAAAGACATTTCTACTCTAGCAATTACCATTCAAACACACTATTTCTGCAGTGGTTTTGATGATTTTTGTGGATTCACCCTACTCTTTATTACAAGAAAAGAAGTATTAGAGACACACCTCTAGTAACTTTGGAAACTTTATCTATGATTCCTGTAAAGTAGGCTGAACAACAGATTGATTTCAGAACTACAGTTCTTAAGTACTTTTTAAAAAATCACATTATACTACCACTTATATTAAACATCACCAATCAGTGTGAAGGAGGATTACAATAAATCACATTTGTAGTCATTTGAGAGTGGTTTAGAATGTCTAGGAACCCTGGTTCACCTTACTAGTTCACCTCATGCTTTAGAAACTATTTGTCCTTCCTGTGTGGTTTTAGCACTGGAACCATTTCAAATCCAAAAGAATCCCATTTTCCAATATGATCGCTAACCTGTCTGATAGATCTCCTCTTACACACTATGCCTCTCAGACGAAGTAAAAAATACTCACCTTACCCACTCCTGCTCTCTGCAGGGTGAGCTCAGTGTGGTAGTTGTGACGGTTGGCGTATGTATGAGAGGGAGGCAGCCAGGCCCTGAGATGAAGGTTTATGATTCTGTGACTTCACCTCCCCATTGAGGTTCAGTTATTTCATGTGTAGCAGCAATGACATTTGTGGCTTGGGAGCTGAGAACACTCTGAAAAACTCTTTCCTGGTTGCTAATTCCTAAATCCAATCACAAATTTCTAATTAGCATCTCAAAGAGACCATTGCAGTGTTTGAGAAAAGTTCTTTTCTCTCTGTCATTCTAGAAGCAAAGTCTCCCATGGAGGGAGCAGAAAATGCTGAGTTCTGACACATGAGGGACTGGCAGTGAATCACTGTGCCTCACTGAATGCTCTGCTTCCCCGAGAAGTTTCTCTACCCAAAGGTGAGTTCTTTTCTAGTCTTCATGGCACTAAGCCACACAATGAATTATGAACAAGGAAATGGAAAGTACTTGATAAGGATTCTCAAAGACATACAGGAAAAGGAAGAACATGAACCCAAATATTACTTGACAGTTAATTTGGATGTCTAGATGACATGGAAATTTTGTAGGAAAATCAACTTTCTTGATATTGAATACTCAGTAATGAGGGAAGTGCTAAATAAAGCAACAACCATACAATGGGAGAAGTTGATAGGAATCATGCACAACTGAAAGCACAGCATCTGATGGTTTAAAAGGCCATTCCTTTTAAATATCAGCTAAGCCACTACTACTCACTCAGATCAAGAGCATTGAATGGTTGCCACAGTCAGATATACTTTTTTTTTTTTTTTTGCTGAATTTTCAGTAATGAACACTGGTTACTTTCTTAATTAAATAAAAAATATAAGACATGAGTTAAAATTAAATATTTCTTTTTAATACCAAAAATCTACATTTGTTCCAGGTCTATTATTCAATGTCTCTCAGTTTCCAAGTCAGATATTAGAGTCTTAATGGTGGACAGCCCTTCCTACTGCACACACACACACACACACACACACACACAATTACACACTTACACAGAGAGGCAAACACATACACATGCATGCACATACACACAAATATGCAGTCACATACACTCACATACTTACACATATCCTTTCTCAAACTTCCCACTAACTCACCTTCATCCACAGACTCATTACATATTAATAAAAATGCACAGTCATATCCATACACATGCAACATAACATAGACAAATTCAGTCTCACTCTCATTTAAAAAAATCAAACACACAGTCATCATTCACATGTATGTCTTTTTTTTTTTTTTTGTAGTATAAGGAACTAAAGGTGTGTCAGGTTCAGGATAAGTGTTCACATCGCGGCCAGTGGTTTTCTTTGGGTAGGCATTTGTTCAGTAGAACCCACCCAGGAAGGAGGACAGAGTAGGCTGGGCTTTTGAAGGAGACTGAAGTCCACATCCTACTCCATCTTGAACTGTTTCTAATGTTCCGTGAGTATTAACCCTTACTGATGATGCTTGTTGAAATTTGTCCTAAGTAGTAATGAAGTCCGATTTTTATGATCCTTAAGTCTGTAATTTGGAATTCAATCTCCGATTTAATCTATCTATAGAAATCACAAGAACAGCTCACAATTAGTGTTGTTATTTCAGTAAAATGTCTGTGGATGTGATGAATTTGATAGAGCCATTAAACATCCGTCCTTCTCATAACAATGTGACTAAGTGGCATTTGCTGAAGTATCATATTTTTTTCTCCACATTTGATGTTTTAATGAAGATACTTATGTCTCTTCTGAAAGTGATCGTCAG